AATGTGATGAATATTCAAAATTTGAAGTGGGTTGCCTTGTGAAGTACCGACATGAATTATATATTTTATTTTATTTCACATGATACCCCAAGTTATAAGTATTATGGGATCTAGAAGTTGCAAATTATGGGATAAAAACTAACGCTTAGATATTATTTACGTAAAGTTTACAAAATTTTAAAATTTAATTTATTTCAATTCATATTATTGTTAGGCTGAAATGTGAGATCTCGTAATCCACCTTCCTTTGGGGCTAGTGTTTTTGTCGACACACTACTATGTGTCTGATTTTGATATCATTTGTAATAGCTCAAACTCACGCTACTAAATATTTTTTCCCAATTTAAAAACTCATCTGTTAAGAGGAGGTTTTCACACTTTATAATGAATGTTACATTCCCGTTCCCAATGGGATCTCACCGTGGAAACTTGTGTGTAACAAATGAATTTTAAAACTGTGAAGCTAAAGCGGGATAACGAGAAACAATTAATATTTTATTTTTTATTATTTAAAAAATGGTTTTTTAAAAGAAGAAAAATTGTGAAAAAGGGGATGAAACATGCAGCAGCCGAAATCTACTGAAATTGCTCCCTAGACCTGCAAAAAGGAAACCTAAGCTAAAATAGATTAATAGTTATAATATTCGAATATTCGCCGACTTTTAATTACCGTCCATATTATTTTATTATTTATTTAATTATGCTTAAATTGTTAAATACACAAATTATTATTTTATTTTATAAATAATTCATATTGGATTGATTTAGGGCTTTTATGAATGAGGGGCATGTTGGGTATTTCTGTTGCCCTTCATTCGGCCCTGTTTATGGCCCAGGCCCATCTGGTTCCAAAAACAATTTCTTCTTTAATTTTAATATTCAATTAAAATGGTAAAATAGTAAAATAGTAAAATTTTAATCCAAAGAGGACGAACAAATTTACCATTTAATTTGTCTGATCATGCATAATAATAAAGGCTTATATCAATAAGATGCACAGAGTTTATTATATAAAGTTAGACTATTTGTAGCCGATACAGTAATGATTGCATTTTTGTTTTGGGCAAATGAGTCGGGCATGTGACGAGGAAGAGCCAGGTTGGTTAAAAACGATGGCTTTTCTAAACAAAAGGTGGGTGTTTTGGATTGTTGTAAAAGTTGTAAAAGTAATGACAAAGGGAAGAAAGAAGGTAATGTTTGAGATGGAGGGGATGTCGTTGATGCTATTGTGGCTGTGGCTGTGGGCTGTGGCTGTGGCTGTGGCTGTGGCTGTGGGCTGTGGCTGTGGGGACTGGAAAATTTGAAGGATGTCAGCACTCTGTCCATCGCCTTGTCCTGTCCTCCATAAATTTATTGTCTTTGGCTACACTTGAGCGCTGGCTAGGGCAAGAGGGCAAGAGGGCAAGATGCATGCATGTTCATCATCCACACCATATGTTTTCTTTCTTACCCATCTCATTTTTTTTAGACTTTTCATGTTTAATCGCATTTTTATGTGGTGGGTGGTTTTGGATTTTGTTATAAGTTATCTCGTTCTTGTGCTTGCGAGTTTATAAACGAACATGAGTGTTCAAAAAACCTGATCACCCCTACCTTACGTGTATGATTTTGGTTGGATTATGAGCTTATTTGAGTTGGGTTAGATTCGAAATAAGGCAACTCAAACCAATCCAACTAAAAAAATTGTGTTTGAGTTGGGTTTGGTTCATTATTTAATAATAATTGTTTGAGTTCAAAAAATTTATAATTGGAACAATTGGGTCAAGTCTAAAGAAAATGTCTCGACCCCGCCAAATCCAACTCACGAATACTCCTAGAAATTAGTACAAGACCCAACAAGATGATGTCGGTGTTGGATTCAAACATAGGACATATTACTTGCTTTAATACCATCGAAACAACAAATTTAAGCTCATGGGTTATTTTTTTAGTATTCGGATGAAGGGTTTGAACATCTAACCTTTAAGTCAATGGTACAATCAATTACCGTTAATGTGTACTCACCGTTTTGATGGATTACGATAGGGTTAATAATGGGTTTTGAAGAACATTCTGCAAGTGGAGTGTTGTAGCATAGCATAATTTGGTGTCGAATTGTAGCATTCTACACAACCTTTTAGGGTGTCCTTATATGGGAGAGGGGTTTAAAGAAGCTACTCACGTGAAATGGTTCTTCCCTTTATAAGCCCTCTCCATCAACCCCTTTTGTTCTCTTTCATTACCCTATCACTTACTGCCCACTTTTCTGGACACAAATAATCAACCCATTCTCTCTCTCTCTCCATCTCTCCCATGAACTCTCTCTATCCATTAATGGTGAAGCACGAAGAACACGAAGAACACGAAGAACAACGTCCCGATCTTAAACTCTATATCTTCCCCTCTACCTCCCAAGTTGCAGCTGCTTCTTCACACCTTGCTTTTGCCACTTGCTTTACTTCTAGTGCCACTCAACATGATCATCAAAGAATGGATCTTCATCATCATCAAAACCAGGCAATTACCCACAACCTCGATCTTCCTCGTTTGAATTCATTCATTTTCAATCATGATTTTAATTTGTTAAGAATAAGAAGCTCGGATACTATGTTAGAAATGAAAAATAGAATTAAAAATTAAAAAAACAGAAGTAGGTATAGTATCAAATATTTTCATTCTTAACCTGATTTTAGTATATTTCGTTTATGGATTTGATCTAACCAATCAACATACGATTCATGTAATTCGATATATTTGAAGGTTGATTATTGTTTTGATACATATATATAGGGTGAAAAAAGCATTGATGGATCAAGAACAGATATTGATCATCAAGAACAGCAACTAGATGAGTATCAAATTAAAAAAGGAGATAATGGGTCAGCTGCAAAATACTGGATGTCTTCAAAGATGAGATTGATGCAAAAGATGATGAAAGTTGGCGGTGGAAATTCAGATCAGGCGGCGGCGGCGGCTGGTAGAAGAAGCAATAATAATGAAGGAAGATCATGTTGTAGTTCAAATGGTGTTAGGGTTTGCAGTGATTGTAACACCACGACAACTCCTCTATGGCGCAGTGGTCCTCAAGGCCCTAAGGTCATTCCCCTTCTCTATCTGACAAATTACTTTAATTTTACTGTCCCAAAACCCCAAAAAAATTAAACCCTTTTTGTATATTTCTACCACAACTTGACCCATTTCTTTGTTTTTTCTCGTTCGGTCTAGATTTTTCGTATAATGATATCGTCTTGTTTTTTGGTTCATCGTAATGATACATTTAGGCTAACGATAAATTATTCGATAACATGAGGAGGACATCATACTGTCAGTTTAAGCTTGCATGACTTTGCTTTCGATTTGATCGTTTCTGTTCTGGGTGGCAGTCGCTATGCAATGCATGTGGGATACGGCAGAGGAAGGCAAGGCGAGCGATGGCGGAAGCTGCAAATGGCGGTGGGGGCGGGGCAGTCGTGGTGGTGGCGGCGGCGGCGTCCGGGAAGGAGTTGCACAAGGAGAAGAAATCACGTTTGAGTTGGCATGGAGATGATGATGATGATGAAGAAGTTAAGAAGAAGAAGGGCAATAATAGGCATATGGGAGAGAAGTGTTTGGAGTCTCAAAGTGAAGGGAGGAACGACGGCGTTTTACGTTTGAGCAAAAATGGTTCGGCTTTTGGGAGGGTGTTTCCAAGAGATGAGGAAGAAGCCGCCATTCTTTTGATGGAGCTTTCTTGTGGTCTTGTTCACACCTGTTGAGACATGCACTTTCAAAATCTGTGTGTTTTTTTAGTGTGCATGTCGGAGATTTTGCAGCTTTGTGATTGAATCTTTAATTAATGATGATAATAACGTAAAAGCTTTCTACATTGAGCTACTAATCTATGATCGATATATTTATTGTTTTAAGTTAGTCCGGATATACGCCTATCTTATCCATTTGTTGGTCGGTTCAAGAATAGTGCCACATGTAACAATTGCACTCTTGCAGCAGTGAGACCGTGATTGTGCGACCGTTGTTCTAACTCAACAGATAAGTCAGTCGTATGAGACAATCTTTACGAGCCTTGAGTCATGTTTACCATAAAATGTTTGGAAACAATTTGAAATAAAGTATTGTTACCGGCTAAAAACAAATTATTTATATATATATAACTCGGGTAGTAAGAACTGACAAATAGTTATATTTTTCAACATTTTAGTGAGAGTAGATGTGATTTTAGTGAATAGTCATATAACTTGTATTGACCGAACAAAAATAGTAAAAATCTAACTAATATGAAAACAAGTAAAAGAGGTAAGACATACGTACAAGCGGTTACAAGTAACATGTCTTGGACAAGTATGATCGTGGCACTGAGTGAGGGTGTCATTGTACCTTGTAGCTTTCAGGGCAACATTTGTCTGATCCTATACGTACCAAGATATTCATTATCTATTAAATTTAGAGATAAAAACTGTAACGACTCACATCCACCGCTAGTAAATATTGTCTTATTTGGGCTTTCCCTTTTGGGTGGTTTGTTCTCCCCAACAGGACATCACAATCCACCCCCTTCAGGGACCAGCATCCTCGCTGGCACTCTTTCTTTCCTCCAATCGATGTGGGACCGCCCCCAAATCCACCTCCTTTGGGCCGAGCCCTTACTGGCCTCATGTCTATCCCCCTTCAAGTAACAGCGAGAAGGCTGACACATCGTCCGGTGTCTGGCTCTGATACCATTTGTAATGACCGAAATCCACCGCTAGTAGATATTGTCTTCTTTGGGCTTTCCCTTTCCGGCTTCACACTTTAAAACGGGTCTGCTAGAGGAAAATTTCCACACCTTTGTAAAAACGGTAGTTTGTTATCCTCGTGAGACATCACAAAAACAAATTATATATATATATTTTATAAAATTAAATCTATAATATCAACATTCAATTTAAATTAGTAAATTATAATTTTTTGTGTTTTTTTTTTATTTAATTTTTTTGAAGGAATGAATAAAAATGGTGTCCCTTTTGTGGTTGCATGCCTAGCATTTCAGCCAATTAAGGCGAACCAATCATGGCTTCTTGTGGCTCCGAACACTCAGATGGAAGGCGTTCGGGAGATTTTAGAGTGTTGATTCTTCAGGGAAACCTGCTCTGCGAGTGGAAATGGCGAAAACGTCGGTACAGTTCAGATCACGAGGGCTTAGATTTATGGCGGGTAATGAAAGGATCTCTCTCTTTGTGACAGTAAAGTTCTATTAAATTATCGATTATGTGTGATTAATGCAATGTAAAATCTGAAAGGATGCTGTAATTGGCCAAACTTTTCAGAGACCTAACATTTGGTGCAAGACTCCGATTCAACCACAGAAATGTTACAAAGCAAGCTTGTTGTAGATTTATTAATCCGTTTTATGTACGATAAGGCACATTTCGTAGCTTGTTGGATTATACTTTTCAGGAGGTGTTCAGAATCTACTTGGTTTGACACTTTCCCCTTGCTGTTGCCTCGATAATTTCTTTTGAAGTGGATCAACTATCTGTTTGGCTCATTCAAATCCCTAGAAATTGAGGTTAGATTGTTTTTGGTGCTTGCTCTACCTCTATTACTTCATCTGAGAGTTTCAAGGATAAACGAAGAAATAGACAGATTTAGATTGAGCCTCATACTCTGGATGATACTCTGATAAAGATCTTGAAATAAGTTATGATTTCAATCCATTAGGAGATTAGATTTCTTATTATTTTTACATAGTTTCTTTTTGCCCGTTCCAGTTCACTTGTTCATGTGCTATAACCATTTAGAGGCGTTGTAACGCAGTTTTTCTTCTCATTATTTGTTTATCATTGATATCGACTTTTCAATAAAGATCCCGTTTGAACTGCTCAGCCGATGCCTTGGAATTTTGCCGGACAGAGGATACCAACACCACAATTTGTATATTATATCAGTGTCAGCACACCGGACTGCTTCTTCCCGGTACTGCTATGTTTTAAATGAAAATTCTCCTAGAATTTCCTTTCAAGGGGTCAGTACGTAGCCATGGTTTTGGATATGCATTTGAATACTTGGATATGGGGTTATGCCCTCTGATTTTATCCTGTTTTGTGGGTGATATTCTGATGCTATCTTGCCTGTTAGTTGTTTTTCTACCTTGAACTTGTCTCCTAATTCATAATAGTTTTCATTAAATGTCAAAGCTCCTAATACCATCTTGACATATCCATAGTGTTCGTCTCAATTTTGCTGATGATCTTACATTTTTGTAGATAGTGAAGATGGGATCTGATGGTTCGCTGAGGCATTAAAGGTTATGATCAAGTGGGTCATAGATAATCTTCCATGAAATGATGGAGGATTATTGGGCGGGAGTTTCACATTAGCTAATTTAGGGAATGATCATGGGTTTATAAATAAGGAATACATCCCTATTGATATGAGGCATTTTGGGAAGCCCAAAGCAAAATCATGAGAGCTTATGCTCAAAGTTGGACAATATCATTTCATTGTGGAGAGTCGTGATTTCTAACATGATGCATCTCTCAAAATTCTGGTCGAATGCATTGTGATACCAAGAATTTTTAGCCTGAATACTGTTCGGGCGCCAAACTTCTAGTTGGACCCCAAGTTTCAGGTGCCAAGAATGTCTGGCCATTTCCCGGCACCATCCTATTTGGTATCCATTAGGAAGTGAAATCAAGGAGTCATCCATTGGAAGTGGAACAACTCTATCTCTCTGTTCAATTACAAGTAAATTCTGTGTTCTAAATGGCTTTTCTACAAGTCGTTTTTTTCTGTATCTAAGTTGAAAATAGAACTCAAATTGCTGTTTGTTGTCCAATAACCTCGAAGTAGCTCTAATTGCAGGGTGCTTTGGAAGAAACCATATTCTGGGCAGGCGAGAATCAGAAGCTTTCCCAACGCCATGGCTATATACACCAAAGTTTCGGTTGGTTTGGTTCTTGTACTCTCTGCCTTTTCTGTTAACATTGCATTGGAATCTCATCTTTGGAGGGCTAAATCAAACCACACTCGTTCTAACATGCTTGTATTTCATACGTGTCATGTTGGCTTAGCACAGAAATGACAATTTAGCTCATCATCTGTTCATGCATCACAGGGCCAACAGATAATGATTCCTCGTTGCATTCATGAAGAGAAGAGGTATTAATGTATCGACTAATTAAGTCGTGTTTAGGTCTGCATGCAAGGCTGTTATCGGAACCATCGGCTCATCTATGATAAATCTCTTTGTGTGGTTTGTGTGGTTGGGGGAAAATGGAATACACTATTATTATAGTAGCTGGAACGACAGAAGGAATCGATCATCCCCTGGGTTTAGTTCACATGTTCTTGCTTAGTTTGTATTTTAGTGTGAGATTCCACGTCGGTTAGAAAGAGGACCGAAACATTTCTTATAAGTGTGTGGAGGCTTCTTCCTAACAGACGCGTTTTAAAGCTGTGAGATTGACAGCAGACAATATCTGCTAACAGTGAACTTGAGCGGTTACAAATGGTATCAGAGTCAGACACTAGACGATCGATGCTGACTCCCAAGGAGGTGGATTGTGAGATCCCACATCGGTTGGAGAGGGGAACAAAACTTCCTTTACGTGGAAACCTCTCCTAATAGACATATTTTAAAATTGTGAGGTTGACGATGTTATTAATGGGCCATAGTGAATAATATCTGCTAGTGGTAGGCTTATGCTTATGTTTTTACATCTAAGTACGTGGCAAACAAGAGAAACGTATTCGCCATAATTACGATATCCTTTAGGCGAGAACTTTGCTCTTACGGGTAGGGATGACTATTGAATTCACGGAAATCTTCAGGCGGCAATGTTATTAAAATTTGGCAGGGAGGTAAATCTAGGGGGGTTTGATTTATTTCTTTATTTAGACTTGTTACCTACTATAGTTACTATTATTATTTAGACTTGCATTTCTTTAGTAAATTGGTGGCTGTTACAACTCCGGCGTGGTAAATTTACAAACAAATTAATGACAGCCGCTAAATTAATCTTTTATGTAAATTTAATACAAATAGAGAGCACGAGAACTTAAGAAGATCAATTTAAACGGAAATAATAATAAAATACGACCGTCCTACCTAGCGTAACAACATTATCGAGGCCTTTTTTTAATTAAAAAAAAAAAAAAAAAGCAATGGTCCGAGGTTTGGGAAATTTAAATATTGGATATGGACACGTAAGAAATGAGCTGGCAATTGCCAGCTCCACGCTACTGTTGTATACTTGCAATGACCTCAAACAAACGTGGCTTAGTCAGCACAAAATCAATTAAACAAAATTAACAAAAGTAAATTGTTAAGTTAATTCAAGTAATAAGTTTAATTAAGACATTTGAATTATTTTAAAAATTAAAAAATATCCATAAAATTTCAGAAAAATTAAAATAAGAATTAATTTAAAAAATTAAAAGTGTTTTTGGAGTTTTTAATTTTTTTTAAGGAAATTAATAAAAATTTTAAAAATTTAATGGTATTTTTTTGAAAAATTGGGAAGTTGAATGATATTTTTAAAAGCAATATTATAAGATTACTTTAAAAAAAAATGCAAAGTATATTAATCATCGTATCATTTAAAATTTAACCTCAAACGATGCTAAGTGTCCGATCCGTTTACTTTCTTAGATTCCAAGTTAATAATATCTATTAAGAAATGAAATCGAGTGTTTTGCTTCAATTGTGTACACTCTAACAGCGTTGAACCCGCCTGTTTTTGATGATCAAACGGATGAGAGGGAGCTGAAAATGGAGGCGAACCGACAGAGATGGGGACCCAGCTGATGAATTTGGAGGGAATGGAGGGCCAGGATGAAAATGGGTCCAGGAAAGAACGGTGGGTTTGAATGTAGAGGATCGAGATGGCGTCATTGACCTGAGGAAAAAAAGAAAAAGGAAGAGAGACAAAAGAGAATGGTATTGGAGGGAATGGGTGAGGAGTTCAAGTCTGTTCAAGTGGTGTTAGCTTGACGAAGAAAGGTAGCCATATTAAGCGAATCTGTGGCTCTTCAGAGTTGAGTTTGGGGCGTAGGTTTTAGCGTATAGAGGTAGAAAAATAGGAATTAAGGAACAGAAAATTACAAAGGAAAAGGCGTTTTTGTGAATCTTGTGTATGAAGAGACCACTGAGAGAGAGAGAGAGAGAGAGATAGATAGGGAGTTTTGAGTTTTGTTGTGGCTTGATGATCCATGTCGAAAATGAAGCATCTTCTTCGAAAGCTTCACATCGGTGGGGGACTTAATGAGCACCAGCGATTGAGCGATTCCCAACCCGCGACGCGACCCACTTCGACCCCATGCCCCAATAGTAATTCATCGGTGTCTCCTTCTTCTGGGTCCTCCTCCTCTGTGGCTATGCCGTCTTCCACTACAATGGAGGCCGTTGAATCGGTGGTTGATCGGACGGCTTCTGGCGATGTGGATGGTGGCTGCGTCGATTTCAATGCTTTGGAGGAGGAGTTTCAGATGCAATTGGCTATGGCGATTAGCGCTTCCGATCCTGATTCGAGACAAGACACTGAGTCCGCTCAGATCGATGCCGCTAAGCGGATGAGCCTTGGCTGTTCGCCTTCCATCTCCGGCAGTAAAGCCCTCGCTGAATTTCTCTCCCTACAGTATTGGGTATTTTTCACTTTAACTTCCTTTCTTGAATTTAGGCATTTTTGTTCAACTTCTTGGTTTTGATTGTTCAATAGCGGGAATTGCAATTTCAATTATATCTCATGATTATTCACTATACATCTTTCGATCTTGGGCAGTTCTTTTATCTCTTGGCATTGAATTTTTGAACAATCGCTATTAAAATCGCTGTTTAACTGGCGACGTCTCATTTTCAGTTTAAAAAAAACTTTGCATATTAGGTCATCGGTTTGATTGATGTGTGAGGAATTACCATTTTCTATCTTAGGTATTCTCCTTGCTTGAATTATTTTCATGGTCGAATATAAATTCCTGCATTGTTGTCGGCCGTTATGTTCTAATCTTTATTTGAAAATTTGGAGGATTGTTAGGAACATCGTTATCATTTGGAGAGTCATGACATGATTTTCTGGTTTGTGCCTGTCTCATCACATGTCCTGGTTTGTTAGCATCCTATGTGTTCAATTCTAATATTGTTTGTCTGGTTTTGTTATGATTTTTGGTATAAACCCTGAACCCTTTTAGAATATTAGGGTTTTCTTTTGGAGTTATGTTGCCAGGGATAATTTGTACTACATCTTGACTGCTAGAAATTGTTTTATTTATGTATACAAATCTATGTTTCTATACTTATCATAACATATTGTCAAATGAAGTTTATTGTTTTTGCTATTATCGATATCGTTAGTCGTGGCAGCAGCAGTTACATAACTACTTTATCTATCAATGCAGAGCTATAATGTTGTAAATTATGATGAAAAAGTGATGGATGGATTTTATGACTTATATGGCATTACTGCGAACTCTAGCACCCGAGGAAAGATGCCACTGTTAGTGGATCTTAAAGAAATATGTGTTACAGGTGATATCGATTATGAAGTGATTTTGGTGAACCGCTTCCTTGATCCTGAGCTTCAACAGTTGGAGAGACAAGCATATAACATATTCATGGATTGCGGAGTTTCTGAACATGGCTTCATTTTAAGTGGCCTGGTTCAAAAACTTGCTGATGTAGTTGTTGCTAGAATGGGTGGTCCTGTTGGGGACGCTGAAGAAATGTTGAGAAGGTGGACCCTCAGGAGTTATGAGTTGCGTAGTTCTTTGAACACGATTATTCTACCGCTTGGACGCCTTGATATTGGACTTGCACGTCATAGAGCTTTGCTTTTTAAGGTCGCGAACTTCCACTTTATACCTCTTACCATTTATTTTCTTGAACTAGTGCGATACGTCTTGGGCATCATTGTTTCTTTGGCTTTTCAAAATTTCGATACCACCCCCTTTTTGGAACAATAGTTCTTGCTGATATCTTTTTCTTTCCTTTATTTCTTTTATTGAAGTTGCTTACTTCGTAATTTTGGTATTAGGTGCTAGCTGATAGGATTAATCTTCCATGCATACTTGTCAAAGGAAGCTACTACACTGGTACTGATGATGGAGCTGTGAATATGATCAAAGTTGATAATGGAAGGTAATTACCAATGATTGAATCTCTTTTTAGTCTCGTTTACAATTTCTTCAAGAAATAGAGTGGATTCGGTTGCAATGATATAATACCTTGGTGATAGTAGAAACATTCTTCTGAGATGGTGTTGGTGACTAATGCATTTGGGACGCCTACAATATCTGATGCACCTAAAAAAGTGTCCCTTTTTTTTTTTAAATTTTGTTTAATAAATTTTTGCATGATAGAATGTAACAACCCAAACCCACTGCTAGCAAATATTGTCTGCTTTGGCCCCTTACGTATCGTCGTCAACTTCACAGTTTGAAAACGCGTATGCTAGGGAGAGGTTTCCACACCCTTGTAAGGAATGCTTTGTTCCCACTCTCCAACCGATGAGAGCCTAGCGTCCTCGCTGGAACACCGCCCGGTGACTAGCTCTGATTCCATTTGTAACAACCCAAGTCCTCCACTAGCAGATACTGTCCGCTTTGGCCCGTTATGTATTGTCGTCAGCCTCACGGTTTTAAAACTCGTTTGCTAGGGAGAAGTTTCCACACACTTATAAGGAATGCTTCGTTTCCCTCTCCAACTGATGTGGGATCTCACGTAGAATAAGTGTACAATATGCTAGAAAAGGCAAAAGCAAAGCATACGGTAGATTACAATTAGGCCTAGCACAAGGGATGGGTTTGAGGAAATTTTATGGACTTAGCAATTGGAAGTGCAATCATCAATATAATACAAACATAAGGGCAACATTGCAAATAGGAAAAAAATGCCTCAAATATATATTTTCCCTTCTACATTTTCGGGAAACTACTGCATCATCCTCTTTGTGTCCTGCGTGTTCCTAAAAGAAAATGTTGGTAGTGTTTGCCCAATCTTTTATATTCATACTCCACGATTATCATCATGCACCTCTGTATGCAATCTAATCTAATTAATACTTATAGTATCACAGGGAGCTCTAATATTTACATATGATTTATTCTATGATGCAGTGAATATATTATTGATCTTATGGGTGCTCCAGGCACACTAATTCCATCAGAGGCACCCAGCGGTCAATTTTCGAATTATGGCTTTGATAGGAGACCCGCAGATGTTATAGCAGTTCCCGAAGATACACCGGTATTAAAAAATGAAGGAGCTGAAGCTGTATTGATTTCATCTACTCAAGATGGAGTAGAAAATGTTTGCAACTTAGTATCCAAAGAAGCTTCAGATTTAGGTGTTCAATCAAAAGAAAACGGCAGAAACTTTATTGAAGAAATTCTAAATGGGAGTTCGGATTATGATTTTGAGAAGCTTTTAGAATCAGAAAGCAGTGCATTTGAAAGTTCATCGGGTGCATGTGCACAGTCGGCATCTGCGCAAAAGAAGAAAGTTAAAAAGGTATCGAAGTATGTCATTAGTGCTGCAAAGAACCCAGAGTTTGCACAGAAATTACATGCTGTATTGTTAGAGAGTGGTGCATCACCTCCTGCAGATCTGTTTTCAGATATAGATTCACAGGGAAATGGTGAAAGGAAAGCGATTCACCAAATGTATCCGATCAACGGGAAAGGCATGGATGTTGGGCTTCAGTGCAACCCTTTTGTGTTGGCAAGCCAGGGACAGTCTTCTGCTGAAGCAGAGTATTTGAACAATCTTGTCCATGAAAATAAGCAGAAAGCGTCTACTGTGGGATCAACCGAAGAACAAAAACCTGAGACAAATGCGAACAATCATGGCACTTTTTGGCCTCAGAGTATGAATGAGGGGTTTGTGTTTGTTGATGTTAATGGTGAAGCAGGAAAATTGGTTGATGTTAATGGGACTCTTCATCGTGAACATGTGGATGGTGTTTCGTTAACCTCTGTTGCCAATTCTCATAAAAAACAACTAGGAAGTACCTTAGTGGATGAAGAAAGAAGATGGTTGCAAGATAATCGTGAGAGTCCATCAGAAAATTTGATAGAACTTGATGATAGTAACCTGCATGCTAGTGATGGCCACAGCGAGACGATCAACCCGATATTAGGCGAAGTTGCAGAATGGGAAATTCCTTGGGAGGATCTTCACATTGGTGAACGTATTGGTATAGGTAAGACACATATCATTAAGATTCAAAAAAAAAAAAAAAAAAAATATATATATCTAGTCTCATTGAGTTATCATTTTGGTTTGTGTATTTATCACTGCATCCCTTCTTAAAACACATTAAGAATACAAACTGACTACTGGGTCCAATAAAATTTTAGGTAAATATGAACTGGGGGTTTAATTATTACTGTTATCATTCATAATCTGAAAGGGTTTGTTCGGGAAATCACTTATAAAACGTTTCTGTTTCCGTTTCATAAATATTTTTAAAAGCTTTGATTGGATGAAAGGCTTTTGTTATATTGTATTTTCTGTGTTTGGGGTACTTCATACCTTCCTCGTATCTCAGGATCGTATGGCGAGGTTTATCGAGCAGATTGGAATGGGACTGTAAGTTTCAACAGACAAGCATATGCATTGTCACATCACACAGTTTTTCTTTTGCCTTTTGCTTTGTTAAAAACTTCAATGCATTAGAATATGCAACATTAGAAAAATCAGGGCTTACAACATTAAATTACAGGAAGTTGCTGTGAAGAAGTTCTTAGACCAAGATTTTTCCGGTGCTGCTTTGGTCCAATTAAAATGTGAAGTAAGTACTAAGTTCGAACTTCTAGGTTCTGTTTGGAAATTAGTTAAGTGATAATAATCTCTTTAAGGGCTTTCTTTTAGTTCGTTAAGCTCCTGCTTATTCATGCAGGTTGAAATCATGTTAAGACTGAGACATCCTAATGTTGTCCTTTTCATGGGAGCAGTCACTCGCCCTCCTCATTTCTCAATCCTCACAGAGTTTCTTCCCAGGTTGATCATGTTGTTTCTTTCTTTATTTGAGCTTAACAATTATGGTGTCCCATGTCCTGAATGTGCAATCCGCTGTGGGTAGTCAATGTTATTTTGTGATATTATGCATGTTCTTAACGTCACATTAGTTTCAGTTATCACTCAACTCTATAGTCAAATGCATCGATTTAAATGTCGAATTGTTGATGTTAATGCAAATATGGAGGGAAATTTTTGGTTATGATACATATATAACTTGTTACCTTATCAACATTGGATTGCACATTCTGCTTAGATATCTCTGTGCGCAAAATATGTCATTGTTGAGAAGCCTCATTAGCATGAGCTGGGTTACTGCATCGCATCTAAAGCAAGTCGAGCTATATCCATCGTCTCCTAATCTCGTCTATGATTAAACCTTGAAACATTGCAGGGGAAGTTTGTATAGGTTACTGCATCGTCCCAATTCTCAACTCGATGAAAGGAGGCGACTGAGAATGGCTTTCGATGTGGTAAGGAGTTAGAAAAGAAAAAAAGATACTCTCCCCACTAGTTATGGTTAGCCCTTTTCCTTTTAAGAAATCTTTCGTTTTCCAGGCCAAAGGAATGAACTACTTACACACAAGTCATCCAACCATTGTTCATAGAGATCTTAAGTCCCCCAATCTCCTCGTTGATAAAAACTGGGTTGTCAAGGTATATGAAACTATCCTGTGCATACAGTTTTGATGTATTTGAGATTGATCTCTTCTAGTATCTAACTTTTATATCTTCATAGGTTTGTGATTTTGGGTTGTCACGTGTCAAGCAGAACACGTTTCTGTCATCAAAGTCAACTGCTGGAACGGTAATAACCTTGATAGTCGTCGGGTTGATATACTGCCTTACGTTTTCATTGAAATGTTACCTTGATAACTGGCATATCTGGTATTGCAATAGCAACCAATGAATGTTTATTGTCTCTGCTTAATTGTAGCCCGAATGGATGGCACCAGAAGTTCTAAGGAATGAACCGGCCAATGAGAAGTAAGTTTCGATGTGGGCATTGAGCCGAGAAGACGTATCTTTTGCTCGAGTTTGACAAAATACTGATAGTGCCTATGTGGCATGCAGGTGTGATGTGTATAGTTTCGGTGTGATCTTGTGGGAGTTGACGACATGTCGCATACCGTGGAAAGGTTTGAACCCAATGCAGGTTGTAGGAGCTGTAGGATTCCAGAATAGGCGCCTGGAAATCCCAGAAGATGTTGATCCAGCAGTAGCACAGATCATTTGCGATTGTTGGCAAACGTAAGTTTCAAACAACAAATACCCATAATCCCATCTGCTTTCAGTTTCTAATACTACTAGAATTTACAAGAAGCATCGTTCCATCCATATTTGCAGTTTGGTTCATTGTGTGATAGTTTATCGTTCTCGGGTCGCTCCTACATCTTTAAGTTTCCTTCTTCTTGCAGGGACACGCAACTGAGGCCGTCATTCTCTCAGCTTATTACTCGATTACGACGTCTTCAACGGCTTGTTCGGAAAACAAACTCCGGGAATCTAATATCGGAGTGAACAGAAAAGATTCATGTGCATTTACATTGAAGAAGTTGTTCAATGGCTCGAAGAGTCCGAACAGCCAGCGTTCGTTTCTTTTTTCGTTTCTCCTTTTTGAGTAAAGCTGTTTGAAAACACTGCAACTGGATAGGGGAAGTGCTAGTTCATTCAAAGTGGGAGCTCAGCACAAACTTATTTAGGAGTGGAAAGTGGAAGATCCTCCAAAACAACAGGTAGCTGCATAAGTTAAAGAGTGTGCAGTGGTGGGATCTGCCATTTTTTTATATATTGTAGTTCTTGATGTGTATGTAAGAAAATTCCCAGATGAAAGGGGGAAAAAAAGATGAAAAAAAAAGGAAAAAAAGGGGGAAAATAATAAGTCCTTCCAAGCTTGAGCTGTGTGTGTGGCTGTGGAGGCCTTTGGGGAATTGTAAACATTTGGTCTCTGCAGATTACTGTGTAAAAGAAATTTAACCCTCACAAGAATGAAAAGCACAAAGAAAGATTCATATGAAGTTGTCTGTGTTCATATCTTTTACTTCTCTCTTTTTATGTTTTTGTTGATATTGCATTGTTTTGGCATCCATGAACTCAAAAGAACTGTATTTGTCATTTTTTAATTATCTCGATGCATATGATTAGTTGGAGCGATATCGTATTGAGATCGGTCAATAGTTTCATCCTATTTGTTAGAGACTTATTAGACACGGTGTTTAACTAAATGGAGATGAGAGATTTTGTGAGACCTCACATCGGTTGGGGAGGAAAATGAAACACTTATAAGAGTGTGGAAATCTCTCTTAAGGGAATGAGTGTCAGCGAGGACGTTGAACCTAGTTGTTAGAATAGTATTCTCGAGACTGAATCTTTAGATTTTTGGGACGTTGAATTTTCATCCATGTTTGTGTTACTCAAGCCAACATTCTCGCTTTCGCTTCGTCCACTAGTACTAGCTCGTCTATGCTCCAATCTTCTAATAGAAAAATCTCTTTTCGGGGTCGTGGTAGAAAAGAAAAAGGGGTCGTCTAATGGAAGAAGAAGCTATAATATAAACTTTGGTTAATAATTCGTTTAATAATGTACGTTATTTTTAATTTGAAGCTTACATATTGAAAATCTTCGGTAACCGATTAAGAAAATAAAATATTAAATCTTTTAAGGAGCAAAGGGCCCCACGCCGGAAAAAATATAAGAAAATATCAGGGTTCATGCATCTACCTCGATAGCCACCATTCTGGGAAGGCAATGAGAAGAAAAAATTATAATAATCAATTTTCTGTTCCAATAAATTGTAGCCATCGTAGCGAGCTTCGGCTTTCAGCAATGAACAATCCGACTATTTTGTATACAACCATTTCGTCTATTTCCTCTTCTTCGTTCCCGGGTTTTTCTCACTTTGCCGCTTTCACTGTCTGTTGCAGGTGAGTTTCAGGCCTGATTTCTCTGCTCCGGACTCTTTATTCCTTCCAAATTTGTTTTGTTTGCTTTAAATTCTTTTTCTCGATTTATTATGTTCTAAGAAACTCAAATCTTGAGGATTTTAGTCGATTATATTTTTGTGCTTGGCTTGGCGGCAGATTAGTCGTTGAGCAGTCGTGAGAAATTGAGCCTCTCATCCTTCTAATTCTAACGGTTTTGTATTTTTCTGCTCGTTCTATTTTTGGGGGGATGGCCTTTTTTATATATATAACAGAAGAAGTGGAGTTAATTACGTGTTTTTTGGGGATTTGTTTTAATCCGTAGAATCACGTGATCGATATTGCCCTCCGATTTTAATTCGTGGATTTCGATCTATTCTCTAGAATGCTGGGTAGTGTTTATGAAAAATCTTTGATCCAGGGGCATGAGATGATTCAGATGGGAAGAATTTGGATTGTAAATAATATCTTATCGATATTTTAATTTAATGGGCTAAAGATCAAATTCGATAATTGACAAGTCTTTTGTTACTGACCGAGAATGAATTAGGATTTCGACTTCATAAACTTGCGACGAACCATCCTTAGATCCAGAAATTTTGTGTTTAACAGATGGGGAAGTTATATAATTGTATCATAGGATTGAGTCACACGTGTTTTTCCATAGATCAGTGGGGTGTGAGCTTGAGAGCCTGGTTACATAAAGAAATTGTGGAAGGAAATGTCGGAAAAAGTTCTAGCTGTGCCTTTGTTTGTGTTCTTGTTTATTTGTCATCTACAACGTGCACAAATCCTAAAGTTGGAGGCTAATAACTTGCTATCTTGTGGACATTTCTAAGTATTGGTTCCATGAGAAATATCTCCTTGATGTTGGATAACCATTAATATTAAAATGAAGTTAGCTCGAGGTTAGAAAATAAAAAATGTTGTGGATCTTTCAATGGTTGGTGGTTTGCAATTGGTAAAGGATAATTTGAGCGTAGATTTTTTACCTGATCGATTTATTTGTGAAACTTGTTTATTTGATCAGCCACGGAATTTCGAACTGAAATATTTGTATCAGAACTTTTCTTGATTTTCTTGGTTGCTTGTTGTTTTTTGCAGTGTTTCTTTTGATGCAGTTGTAGTTTTTTGAACGAAAAAGAGACTTGATGGAAGGTTGATTGCATTGCACATTGGATGCAGATTGCTGATTGTAATGTTCTTGAAAATTTGAAATATTTACTTAAACTTGATTTTTTCTTGCCTTTAAATCCCATTGTTTGTTCATCCTTTTGAGAAAGTCTGGGGGTTGTTTCTGTTAGCTGGAGCAAATTCAGTCTCTCCCAGAGTGTGGTTTGACACAGTGATGCGTCTGTTCCAATTATTAACAAAGCTAAATGGTACCTGGAGAGTACTCTAAAATGATGCCGCAAGCGGTTTATGATGTTGAACTAGTCAGTTCTACGAAGAGCATAAAACATGAGTTATGGCCTCTAGATGCAATCGATCCAGTCCAAGCAAAGTTCCCATGCTGTTTGGTTTGGACCCCTCTTCCCGTTGTCTCTTGGTTGGCACCCTTCATTGGCCATGTTGGGATTTGCAGGGAGGATGGAGTCATATTGGATTTCGCAGGATCAAATTTTGTGAATACCAATGATTTTGCATTTGGCCCCGTTGCGAGATACCTTCAACTTGACAGAGAAAAAGTAAGTCCATAGTTAGTTTACACAAATATTTCACGAAATTAGATTCCTGTTTCCTGACTAGAATGCAAGCTGATTGAAGTGCATAAATTTCACTTAGCAACTTCAACGAAAATTGTGATGGACCAACCAGGAATATTGTTCACTTAGAGAATGCGCTTTTTACTGCTTCCTCGTTAGCTGGTCTCCCTTGGGTGCAATGCCATATTGTTTCAAAGATGCCCATCACATTCTCTCCTACACTATTTATTTTCTTTGTAAACCGTGTAAAAGTTACCAATGGATCCCTAACAGTTGTATGGAACCTTATTTTTTGTAGTGTTGCTTCCCAACAAGCTTAGCTGCGCATAAATGTAAGCAGGGCTATCAGCATTCACAATTTGGAACAGCCATTACCTGGGACGATGGCCTACAATCAAGTAAGCGCTATCTCGAGCATAAATCCTACAACCTTTTCACATGCAACTGCCATTCCTTTGTCGCGAATTGTCTGAACCGTGCATGTTACGATGGATCGATGAGTTGGAATATGATAAATGTAGCAGCTCTTATTCTGTGGAAAGGGCATTGGGTTGATGGCATGTCAATTGTAAGATCATTCCTTCCCTTTGTACTGGTGGTCTGCCTGGGCATTGCCATGGTTGGGTGGCCCTTCTTGATTGGTCTGTCTTTGCTTTCTCTCCTGTTGGTTGGTTGGTTTATTATGGGTACTTACTGTATAAAAAGCTTGTTGGAATGCTAGATTTGGTGGATCATAGGATGTTCAGAATGGCTCGCCCCATTCTTGCTTGCAAGTTTGATAGAATGTTTGTTCATATTTTTGAACGTTGTACTTAAAGCAACACTGTTCATATAATGAATGGAAACATACTATTTTGATGAATTCGTGAAATTTTAGCTGTAAGATCTGTTCCAACGGAAATAAAATTAATTTAGAAGTCCAAAATCTGGTCTTATCCCAAAAAAAAAAAAAAAAAAAAAAAAAAAAAAAAAAAAAAAAAAAAAAAA